TATAAAATATTATATCATAATAATCTTCCAGAGATAAAACGCGTTGTTTATTTTTTATAAAAGTTTTATTAATTAGAGAACAAATTTGAAAAAAGGAATGTACACGAAGGATATTCAAATTTGAAGTCAAGTTAAAATATTTTCTACAAAAAAAGTATTCAACAAAAAATGCAAACGTATGTGATTGAAACAATATTAAAAAAACTGAGCTATTAAAAACAATTGTAATATTCAGAATATTACAACAACCCCTCTCACCATGATCTAGAGATCCAGAAGATTTGGAAGCTTTAACGCCAGCGCACCTTCAGAGAGTTGGTTCACTAATATTTGCTCCAGAAATGCCAACAAAATATTTATCCCTTATAAATCGATGGGATAAAGTTAAAGTTTTTCATCACACGTTTAGCAAGAGCGGGAAAACCGAATATATTCGGGAACTGCATAAGCGGTATAAATGGCAGTATCTTCAGCGGAGTCTTAAGAAAAACAACATGGTGTTGATAAAAGATGAACTTCTGTCACCGAATGACTGGAAGATGGGACGAGTTTTAGAAGAAGTTTCTGCCCTGCCTTTAATGTGATGAATATTGAGGAAACTACACTCTCGTTTGCATAAACTGTCTCGGAAGAAATCACTTCGCCAGAGCCTGCACGTGGAGGGGTAGTTGTAGAATGTGCTCGGCACAATACTTTGCTCCACCGGGATGTAACGACTTTATGCGGGGGAAACATGTTTGAAGTAGTTGTTAGGGGCAACCGAGGAACATCAACAATAACAAACACTTATTAATCTCCAGAAAAAAGCAACAGCATCATCACTCAAACAAAAAGCAGAAGAACTTAAAAACGAAACAAAACAACAAGAAATTAGACAACATACCGAAAACAAAAAGGCTGCATCACCAAAGATAAGGGAAAAACAAACACAAAACATCTGAACAAAAATATTCGACATACAAATGAACGTCAAACCAACAAAAACTATAGCCAAAATTCCATCAATCGAGTGGCTCAGGTAAACACCATAACTTCTTTAGAACCAGACACTTAGAAAATGAATATGTTGCTAAATGCGCTGGAAAGGATTACCACTGCATTAACTTTTGCACCAGTGCAAGGGGCCCGGCATGTTGGGAATATGCCCAACCCTATCGATGATGACATCGACCGCCACGACCTCGATCCTTAGCATTCGATGAGGTCCCATCACCCAAAACAAAAAAAAACTACTCTTCTTCTTGAAGTCAAAAAAGGAAAGTGTCGATCGTCAGATCAATTAAAAATAGTAGGTGAGTTATAAATAAATTTTAAAGTTTATTTTATTTGCTGACAACAACGTAAGTATCGTCAGAATACTTGTTGTGTTGTTGTAGTTTTCAAATTTATATTGTTGTCCGCCTTGTTCAACAATAATTTTCCATTCTAAATCTACTCAGTAGAATTAGAATCCCTACAAGTCCTTTCGACCGTATCGGAAATTGTACAAGTATTAAGAATATTAATTATGGAAATAGTTTATATGTGACAGGTAGCGACTCCGAATCCAAGTATTCTTACTACTATAGTTAATACAAATTAGGTTAGGTTAAAGGACGCGCGGTTGCCATTTGGTAACCGCTCCACTCTGAGACCTACTGGTCCATTGTGTTCATCCCAGAAAGAATAGTAAAAGAAAGTAATAGGTGATGGAAGAGAGTGAAGATAGAAGATACAAGTATAGAATGTGATCTACGGCTAAAGAAGTTGCCGTGTCGTCTTTAGCCACTTGAATCTTCTAGCTAATTGAGGGTCAGTGTTAGAAAAAGAAGGCAGATCATGCGATACTAGTTCCACCACCAACATGTGTCTCACGTTAATGAATGCTGGGCAGTAGCAGAGCAAATGTTCGACTGTCTCAATTTCTTCATCTTGACAGAATACAAATTAAATTTAAATAATATCAATTTCTATGGAAAAGGTTTCATTTTAATTACAAAGGGTTTCGTTTAAAATGTAAAAGTGTTCATTTCAATTGCAAAAAGTTTCATGTAACTTGGAAATGCTATACATTTGTTTTTAGTAGATAAAATACACGCCTGTTTTAAACTTTTTTGCTGTTTTCTTAAGAATAGCAATGTCGTTTGTTCACCAAACCGTATGCTACATCGTCCCAGTGCTGGTAATTAGACATAATATCTCTCTCGACGTCACTGCTTGATCGCAGACCTCGACGCACAAACCTCAACTCTGACGATAGAGTCCAAAAATTTGAATTGGAAAAGTGATTGTGTGCCAATGCCAAAATATAACAATTAGATAAACATAAAAAATAATATTTTTTCCAACTGTTTTTGGTAGTAGACGAATGATAATGCGGGTATTCTCATTCACGACCTAGTCGACAGACAGCAACACATGTAGAGAGAGCAGCAGAATGAACTGCGATGCTTCTCCAGTTCAATTTTTGTGTAGTGATGATGTTATATTGCTAACAGTGGTAGTACATATCAAACATCGAGGACAAATGTCAAATGTAAGAGCTCTTTTAGACTCTGGTTTCAAACGATCATTTAACGAGTGATACAGTAAATAGCCTCAACATTAAAGCAAACTAGAAATACGTCATCATCATACCTTGAACCTTCCAGTTGAATGACACACCCATAAAAAATCATTACAAATCTGGTTACCAACCCTTTTTTTATCAAGGACATATCGCACCAAAAAATTACTTATTTTTTAGAGATACTTTATATTGAGACATTAAATTGCCAGAATTCGGAATGAGAATCAATATTCAAATCTACTAAAGAAATTAAAAAGCATCAGTCGGGCTCTACGAAAGATGTATACCCTTAGCCAACGTTAAATTATTTAAATATATTTTAACTTCAGTTATGAAGTAGCGGATCTAAAAAAATTTTACATAAATATTGCTACGTGCCAAGTTTGTAGTATATCAGTTACTTACTTCACTTTATATGACATATTTTTAAAAATGTTAAAAAGTGTGTGAGGTACCAGATATAGTCGAAACATTCCATTTTCATACTTCATCTAATACAGATAAGAATATTTGTATGGGAAAGAAGAAATTTATACACAATTTTATGTGAAATCATAAATTCCATATTCATCTCAGATTTAAGATTTAGATATAGATATAGTAACGAATCGTTAACTGAATCGCAGTTTCGCAAGTATTGACAATTTTGACTCTTTATGGGTGAAGTACCAGATATATATCACCTTCAAAACAGATCTTGTGTTAGCAAAAATGTTTGTATATGTAAAATTTGAAGAGAGCTGGAAGCTTTGAGCGTTTTGTTTGTCAAAATTTTGAACCCTATGTGGGGGAGGTACCAGAAGGAATGCTTCAATCTCTACCATCTATATAACAGATCTTGTGTTGATGGAAATATTTAGATGCACCAAGTCTGAATGGAATCGTATGTTAATTCCGCGTTTTTTTCAGGTTCGTTGATATTCAACATTTTTATTCTTTGTGGGGAGGTACCAGAAGGAGGGCCAAAGATCCGATCTCTGCTATCTTTATGACAATCTTGTGTTGATAAAAATATTGAGATGTACAAAGTCTGAATGGAATCGGATGTTAATTTCGCGTTTTATGAGCTTCATGGGTATTCGAATTTATCACCCATTATGGGGAGGTACTGGTTCCCTTGTATTACATTAATCAAAACAATGAAAAATAAATGGATTTCATTATCATAAAGACAAAACTTCACGAAAATGATATGTTGTACCGAATGAAACCTTTTGAAGTGGAAATGTAACCTTTTGCATCGAATATGAAACCTTTTGATGGGGAAATGAAAATTTATGCATTTTAAACGAAACCTTTTGTAACTAAAATGAAAATTTTTGCAAACCAAATGAAACTTTTACATTTATAGGAAGGAACATAATAAAATATTTTAATTTTTAGTAGCTTAAAAGTGGAATCAACAAATTATAGCTAATATATAGTTTTACTGATTATTAATATCTATATTTAGAAATTATAAATTTGTTTTTTAATTTTTGACAGCAGATCTATTATGGAGATAAACCGATCTTGATGTGTAGGTTTGTAAATGGTTTGCTCCATTACGTACACAATATAATGCCTTTTAGAAACGTCTCCGTATTATTTTTAATACAAACCATCTTACACACAACTACAACAAATTTCGCATTTCAGTCCTGCCCATTACATTTATAGTAATAGGGATATATTTTATTTAATATGGAAATATTTTATTTGAAATCAATAATGAACAATTTGTTATTACAAAAGTCTCATTTAATTTGCAAAAAGTTTCATTTATGTTGCAATAGGTTTCTGTTGCAGAAGGTTTCATTTCCGCTGCAAAAGGTTTTATATCCTTTGCAAAAAATTTCATTTCAATCACGGCAACTCTGTGCTGGAGTCTTATAGTGTCAAATCGACTTTTAAATATGCAACAGTTGGTTTCACATGATGGCAATAGAATTAAAAAATGTTTTTTTTCAAGGTCTTACCTCCAAAAGACCCGAACTAGATACGACCTAGTCGACAGACAGCAACACATTTAGTTATTGAAGAGCAGCAGAAGAACAAATACTTAGACACACATTACTTTGAGTAGTAATGATGTTATGTTGCCAACAGTGCTACCTCATATCAAACATCGAGGACAAATATCAAATGTTAGAGCTCTTTTAGAATCTGGTTCAAAACGATCATTTTTAACGAGTGATATAGTAAATAGCCGCAACATAAAAACAAACTAGAAGTTCGTCATCTTCATACCTTGAACCTTTTAGTTGGAAAATGACACACCCATAAAAAAACATTGCAAATCTTGTTACCAACCCTATTTATCAAGGATATATCGTACCAAAAAATTACTTATTTTCTAGAGATACTTTGGATTAAGGACATTCAATTGCCAGAATTCGGAATGAGAATCAAGATTCAAAGTTACTAAAGAAATTTGAAAAGCATCAGTCGGTTCGCCGACAGATGTATACCTTAACTAATGCTCAATTATTTAAATATATTTTGAATTCTGTTATGATTATTCAAATTGTTGGTCCTCTAATGAGTATCGGATTGTAGTGTATCAGCGATGAGGTTAGGCCGATGATACCTAACCCTTGAGAAATGAAATGAAACACGTTGTTTCTTCGACTATCTGATAACTACTATTAGAATCTCCATTTTATTAATTCCTAAAATATTTATGTTAATATGCAATGAAGAATGTAGTTGTGGGTTATAGCACTCACAAATAATAATATCATTTTACACTGTTGCATTAAGTATTTCACTGTTTAAACAAAGAGTACTAATACAGATAATTTTAACGATTAGTACAATTTGTAATATATAATATTTACAAAATACCACAATACCCCCTGTTAGGTTTTACGTTAATAATAAATATTAGGAAATTTCACGCGTCTTCCCGACCATGTAGACTTTACTGGAGGTTTTTGGTGTTGTTCTGGTCTTTGACGCTCTCATTTGCATCTCTCTTTAATTGGCTCAGTGGAGTTGTGTTGTGTATTCTCACCTTTTGGTGTATCTTCTAGAAAAACGCGTGCTGGTTTAAGTCGATCTATAGATATATTTTCCTTATTTCGTCCTTTTTTATATAATTTTTTTAATACTGTACGCAAATCACACATAACTTACCGAAGTTTCTTGACGAACTCAATTTGGCTCTCTTCCAGCCTACTCTGTCCAAAAATCTTGCCTGGCAATCGTAGTTGTGTTCCATAAAGCATTTCGGCTGGGCTGGCACTAATATCAGGTTTCACTGTTGTCCGAAGTCCGAGCAGAACGAGTGAAAAAACGAAACACCAATAATTTGTTGCGTAGCATTTGATGGCACTCTTCAGTTTTCGATGCCATCTCTCAATCAGACCATTCGCTTGCGGGTGGTAAGCCGTTGAGCGCAAATGACGTATGCCAAACGTTTTTGTTAGCTGTTCAAACAGAGGCGATTCAAACTGCCGACCAAGATCTGTAGTGATTTTCTCTGGAACACGGTGTAAAGACACCCAACCGTTGACAAAAGCTTTTGCAACCGTATGCGCAGAAATATCGGGGATTGGAATACCTGTAGCTTCCTCAGAACCAATTGTCGTTGACTAGGTGGAACGTATGATCGAACCCGTTGACCATTGACATTGAAATACATGGATTTATCTGTATTTGGGAGTTGCAACAAAGTTAAATTAAGCGAAGAGGTCTTACCAGGCTCCAAAAGAGACTTCAACTCTTCGTCGTGCCCTTGTTCGGCAGCCATTATTCCAAAATTAACTTCATTTGTCGTGAGCGTTTTGATTCGAGACAACCAATCCGCAACATTGTTGTCTGCTCCACGAATATGTTGGATGTCGGTGGAGTACTGGCTTATATAATCGAATTGACGCACTCTCCTCGGCGAAGCTTTTTCACAACTTTGCTCAAATGCGAATATAAGTGAAATAAGAAATTCTCGCCCCTCCAACATATGTTTGAAATGCTCAACATCTTGATAGACTGCAGTAATCTCTGTCGTAGGCACTATAATTTCGTTGTGCATCGGTCAGTCGTTTGGAATAAAAACAAAGGGGTTTTGCTCTGCTATCGACGATTTGATGAAGCACCGCTCCCACCGCACCCACTGCTGTGTCTGAAGCGTCGACTGTTAGGGTTAATTTACCTTCAGGTGCCAAGTAGTATAATAATGCCGTGTTGTATATTTCAGACTTACAATCTTTAATGGCCTCTTCGTCTTCCGCAGATCAACTAATTCTGGTTGTGTCGCACTTTTGTTACCACTGACCAACTGTTGTAACACATACTGGTGTTTTGTAGCCTGTGGCAAAAATGGACCGTAGACGTTAATCATTCCCAAAAACCTTTTTAAATCTTTCGCTATCGCTGGTTTCCCGAAATTCAATATGACTTCTACCTTTTCCTTCGTAGACTTGAGACCGTCGATAGTGATTGTATGACCTAAAAATTTCAGTTCGGATTGGCCGATTTTGCACTTGCTGGCGTTGATGGACAAATTTTCTTTGCGCAAACGGTCGAATACTTCACGCAAGTTACGCTCGTGTTGCTCCTCGCTATTTGATGCAACCAAAATATCGTCGATATAGGCAAATGTACAATCTAAGCCACGCAAAAGCTCATCAATGTATGGCTAAAATGTTTGGGCTGCATTCCTTAATTCGAACGTCATATACACAAACTCGAATAGGCCCAAAGGTGTTGATATGGCGTATCAATATGGGTATCAAATAAAGGGGCTTGACAAGAATAATACAGTTCACTATACAACCTCAATATTTAAGATGGGCGCAGCCACTAAATGGTGTATAATAATAAGATTTAAATGTAGAAATTGCGTCTGTAATTTAGGTATCTGATTAATCAAGCCTGAATCTACCACCAAGTCAAGATTTTGTATCGTGTTGAGGACTGTGTGGCGTTAGAGTGGTAAGGTTAAAACGTGCCGAGAACTATATGGCATTAGGGTGGATAAAAATGATATGTCGTTAGAGTTTTCACCTCAAGACTCAGGCGCAACTTGTTGTACATAGCCTTTAGGAATGTCGTCTGGTTCGATTGGGGGTGGTAAGCCCGCTGTAGATCGAGGGTCGAAAATACCCGCCAACCATGAAGAATGTTTGTAACGTTGTGGTTGAATGGAATTAGGTACCGATCTGATACCGTCTGTGCGTTGAGTGCTCGATAATCTTCACACGGCCTCCTTTCCCCATTCGCTTTCTTTACATGATAAAGTGGACTCGCCCATTGACTTTTAGAAGGTCTGCAAATGCCCTTCTCCATTAAAAATTGAAACTCTGTCTTCGTTGCTTCTAGTCGTTCTCCTACCGGTCGTCTTGGGCGAGCACACACTGGTAACCTGAAGTCGTGATGAAATGAGGTGTTGGATTCTATGGGTTTTCTGTCGGAATTTAATACAATTAAATTACCATACTCACGTAAAATGTGCGAAAACCTGGAATCACTTGAATGTGTTAGAATTGTAATGGAATTTTGCTGAACAAAATTCCCTTTGCTTTCTAACATTGTTTTGCGATCAATTAATTTACCTCTCTTAATGTCAACAAGCAGATCATATGTTTTTAAAAAGTCGGAGCCGATGATTGCACAATTGACTTCGGCAAGATAAAAATTCCACACGAAACTCCTGCGCAAACCAAGTGACATACGCTATACGTTTGCAGAATAGAAGTTCGTAGACAGGTGTTTTTTGCCCTTGTCGGCTGAAGAGGGTAGAATTACTGACACGTCTGCGCCGGTGTCTATTAGAAACTTGATGCTGGTATTGTGGTCACAAATGACGAGGTGAGCGATTTGCAAAAATTAATTAGTTTTAAGAATGTTTTGTTGTATAAGAACACGGGGCCGACATTTTTGAGCGTCGTTACCAAATATCCTATTATACCAACACTGTTGTGGGAAATCACTAGTAGGCTTACTTGCGGACCGTCCGTCCGTGCTCTTTAAGCTGAGTCTATTGGATCTACTGCGAGGACGCCTCCTAATAAAGATAACAAGTTAGTTCAACTGTTCTTCGATTCGATGAATACGGACGCTGAAGTCCCCATCAGGTGGGCTGTGTGCGATCGCGGCCACATTTCGGTACACAAATACTTCAATAATTTTATCAGCGAGCTTTACTAACTCGGTCAATTCTGCGTTAGAGGCATGTAGAATTGCACACGTTTAAGCCTATAACCTCTGCAACTAAAGAGTTTTAAGAAAATCATCATTAATTTTACCTTTTGCCAAACTTTTGAGCTCGTTTAGCAGTTGCGTCGACCTCCGAAATTAATTTTTGGATTTTCTTTTGCTCACTATCGCAGTAGCGTTCAATGATACATGATATCAGGTGGCTGTACATATTTGTTTCTGGCGGGTTGAGGATTGCATCCGATATCTGGGCTAAATCTCCACTTTCAACAGCTGCAACGACTGTGTTGAACTTGGACAATTCGCTGTTTATGATAGCAATGCCAAATTGAGCCTCGACTTGGGCAAACCATATTTCTGGAAAGGAGGTATCTTGACAGATAATCTGTTAACGATGGTGCTGCGACTCCAAATCTCCAGAAACGGTTTTTGTCCAACCAGATCTAGGGTCTAAAACCGTTATTTCGATTAAACAGGTTTTGGTCGTATCAGCCAAATGGCTGAGGACATAAAAAGGCTGAGTTGCAAATATGTGGCTTATGTGGCACAGTAGTTGTAAATGTTAACGGAACGTGTAAGGTAACACTATGTGCCGACAAAAAAAAATTGAAATCGATTTAAATGTTCTAGTAGTTCAAAATCTCACTAGTATGACACAAACAAGATCACTTACGAATTCAGATTTAAGTGATGTGAACGATATGTAGCATTTTTGGATTAAATGAAACCTTTTGTAATTGAAATGAAACGTTTTGCAGTGGAATTGAAACCTTTTGCAGTGGAAATGAAACTATTTGCAAATAAAATGAAACTTTTTATTTTATTTACAGAAATATGGTTTGCCCAAGTCGAGGCTCAATTTGGCATTGCTATCATAAACAGCGAATTGTCCAAATTCAACACAGTCGTTGCAGCTGTTGAAAGTGGAGATTAAAGAGCACGGACGGACGGTCCGCAAGTAAGCCTACTAGTGATTTCCCACAACAGTGTTGGTATAATAGGATATTTGGTAACGACGCTCAAAAATGTCGGCCCCGTGTTCTTATACAACAAAACATTCATAAAACTAATTAATTTTTGCAAATCGCTCACCTCGTCATTTGTGACCACAATACCAGCATCATGTTTCTAATAGACACCGGCGCAGACGTGTCAGTAATTCTACCCTCTTCAGCCGACAAGGGCAAAAAACACCTGTCTACGAACTTCTATTCTGCAAACGTATAGCGTATGTCACTTGGTTTGCGCAGGAGTTTCGTGTGGAATTTTTATCTTGCCGAAATCAAAATCCTTCAAGCAGTTCTTGAGTTATAAGTGTAGTAACTAACAAAAAATATGGTAAAAAATTTATTTATTTTGTATATTCTTAGTATAGTTCGACTTACCACATAAATAAATATAATCTATAAATAACAGTTTTGTCCTTTGTCGCTTTATACCACAAAACAAAAAAAATCACATCATATTAGCATTCAAAAAAACACTACGAATATACATTTGAAAATAGTAAGTCAAAATGAACAAAAATTATACAAAATAAAACATTACTATTGTACATTTCAAAACTCAAAATGCAAAACTTAGAATCTTTCATTTTTAAGCGATGAAATGTGACATTAAGCATTGCTATAAAGTCTTAGAGTTATACATATTATTAATCTCACCTAAAGGATTCCCGATTCGCAACTTGTTTGATATCCATTTAGATCCATTATGGAGATAGAGCAGTCTTGTTATGTGGGCTAATGGATGGGTCGCTTTATCACGTACGCAATGTAACACCCTGTTGAAACATCCCGTTATCATTTTCAATACCAAACATCCTAGACACAATGCAATATTGTGCCAAATTTCAAATCTCTACATCAAATTTCATATCAATATCGTAAATACAACAGGCAGACAGCTGGACACCATTAAATCAACTTAGATCATGATTGTATATACCTTTTGGGATCTATTATGAATATTTAGAAGTGTTAAAATGGAATGACAAATTTAATATACCCGCCTTTCCATGGAGGAGGTTATAAAAAGGTATTAAATTCGGGTCTTTTGGAGAAAAAAACCTTGCAAAAACGTTCTTATAATTTTTCCGAATCTTAACTTGCGTTTTATGGCATCGTGTGATACACTGCAAATTTAGGAAAAATTATTATAAAAGATATAGATGTTAGTAATCAATTAAAATTCCTCTTTAACTATAGCATTTTCAGATTAAATGAAACCTTTTGCAGTGGAAATGAACCATTTTACAGGGGATTTGAAACTTCTTGCAACAAAAGTGAAACTTTTTGCAATTATATGATTGATTTCCACTGCAAGAAGTTTCATTTCCACTGCAAAAGGATTCATTTCCGCTGCAAAAAGTTTAATTTGAATTGCAAAAGGTTTCATTTAATCTGAAATGTTTCATTTGATTTGCAAAAAGTTTCATTTTGGTTGCAAGAGGTTTCATTTCCCCTGCAAAATGGTTCATTTCCACTGCAAAAAGTTTCATTTCCACTGCAAAAGGTTTCATTTAATCTGAAAATGCTATAGTTAAAGAGGAATTTTAATTGATTACTAACATCTATATCTTTTATAATAATTTTTCCTAAATTTGCAGTGTATCACACGATGTCATAAAACGCAAGTGTAGATTCGGAAAAATTATAAGAACGTTTTTGCAAGGTTTTTTCTCCAAAAGACCCGAATTTAATACCTTTTTATAACCTCCTCCATGGAAAGGCGGGTATATTAAATTTGTCATTCCATTTGTAACACCTCTAAATATTCATCATAGATCCCAAAAGGTATATACAATCATGATCTAAGTTGATTTAATGGTGTCCAGCTGTCTGCCTGTTGTATTTACGATATTGATATGAAATTTGATGAAGAGATTTGAAATTTGGCACAATATTGTATTGTGTCTAGGATGTTTGGTATTGAAAATGATACCGGGATGTTTTAACAGGGTGTTACATTGTGTACGTGATAAAGCGAACCATCCATTAGCCCACATAACAAGACTGCTCTATCTCCATAATGGATCTAGATGGATATCAAACAAGTTGCGAATCGGGAATCCTTTAGGTGAGATTAATAATATGTATAACTCTAAGACTTTATAGCAATGCTTAATGTCACATTTCAGTCCTGCCCATACAATCTATATATGTAAAGGAAAGTTGTGTTAGTTACTACGCTTATATCCAAGAACAGCAGGTCTGATTTTAACGAATTGTCTCTTGAAAATCGCTTAAAAATGAAAGATTCTAAGTTTTGCATTTTGACTTTTGAAATGTACAATAGTAATGTTTTATTTTGTATAATTTTTGTTCATTTTGACTTACTATTTTCAAATGTATATTCGTAGTGTTTTTTGTGAATGCTAATATGATGTGTATTTTTTTGTGGTATAAAGCGACAAAGACAAAACTGTTATTTATAGATTTTATTTATTTATGTGGTAAGTCGAACTATACTAAGAATATGCAAAATAAATATTTTTTTTACCATATTTTTTGTTAGTTACTACACTTATAACTCAAGAACTGCTTGAAGGATTTTGACAATTAAACAAACAAAAATGATCGGCAAAGCGTTATGGGGCTCATTTCAAAACGGGCACCTACTTCTTTCATATGAATAAAATCCGCGCAATGAGAACTCTAAATGCAAAAATTCATTGGGACTGCAATCAGTGAAATACCGAATATAAAGGGTTTAAAAATAGTAGAGCTAATTGGTCATTTAGTAAGAAAACACACACATTTTAACCATACTTTTCATACTTATTTCGGCAAATGTTGGTGATTTGAGAAAAAACCATCCTTTTGAAAAACTGATCACTTTTTGGTGTAACCAACATTGTTTTCATTTCTTGGTCCTTATTTGGCATCATTGTTCTTAAAGTGTTAGAAAACCTCTTCCATAAAATGCTAAATTTTCGGAGTAGAGCCCATCTTGTTCTTGACCACATTCATCCAAAATGTATTTAGGTAGATAACCATCTTAAAGGTAACTGTTTATTTATTTAAATATAGTCCCCACATTAAGTGTACCCGCAAGTCCTTTTCCAAACCAATGTTTGGTTAGAAAAGAAAGTTGAGCATTCTATTGAATTTGTAACCCTCAAAGGAATACTGGTTTTGAATGTAGATTTGGAATGTATGAAATATATTCCGAAATGTCAAACTGGGACTCATTCAGTCGAAAATTGTGGCAGAAACATGGAAAGTTATGAATATTAGAAACTAGTAGAAGACCGAACATTTGTTTAATCATCATTGAATTAAACTATAATAAAAAATATGGACTTTATGAGGTCTACGAAGCACAATTTAAATGACACAAAATTTGTAATTATCTTTGACTATTCTGAAATGGTTCTGCCCTAAATTATGAGGTGGACAAAACTAAATACTACGCTGCACGTTTTTCTAAACGTTGGATATACAAATTCCAAATTAAAGCTAATTTTAATGGAAAATGTTGCTAAGCTCATTAAAATACCAAAAATTGAGCTGAGTTTTCACATAAGGCTATTAAAGATGTTCTATATCATAAAGGTTTATAACACTCAAAGTAAAGCCTGTGGCTGAAAAATAAGATCAGCCTATTCAAAATATCTAAAACCGACGGTATTATAATTTTGCCATACATTTTTATTTCTATTTATAAATTACTATGAAGTCATTACTTATAATAAATAAGTCAGATCTGTGATTTATTATACTTTAACAAATATGCAATAAAAACTAAAAGTACGGGCCGGCTACGCGGACCGAGTCAGATAGTTTAGAAATAAAGGCCAACATTTGTTTCAATTTCTCTTTTTAACGTTAAGTATTAAGAATATATAATATGGAAATATTTTATATCAAATCAATAAAGAGCAATTTGTTATTACAATAATTGAAAATTTTACAAATAATATAAAAATATAGATATGAATAATCAATAAAAATTCCTCATAAACTCTATATTAGTTATAATTACTTGATTTAATTTTGAACCTAATAAAATAAAAAAGGTTTGTTATGTTTATTTCTATATATCGAAAAGTTTCATTTGTAAACGGTTTTACTTCAAATTCAAAAGGTTTCATTTCCGCCAATCCGGTATCATTTTCAATAGCAAACATCCTAGCCACAATACAATGTTGTGCCAAATTTCAGAACTCTACATCAAATTTAATTTCAATATCGTGATTTCAATAGACAGACAGGTGGACATAATTAAATCAACTTTGATCATGATTGTATATACTTTATGGGGTCTACGGCGAATATTTAAGGATGTTACAATCGGAATGACAAAGTTAATATACCCTCCTTTCCAAGGTGAAGGATATAAAAAGGGTCCATTGTGGAAGTCGGCAAAATTAAAACTGTAAAATTGAAATTATAATTCTATAAAACTATGTCGTATATAGTAAATAGGGTTGCCACCACATTTTTCAACATTTATATTTATCTGGACGCCTTCATATAAACATTTGATGTCCGCTGGAATTTAAGGTCAAATATGTAGACAAACATCGAAGCCTAATGCCTTACGTTTGTAGTATACGAATATAAGGCAAATATGTGAAGATTATTGTAATCTAATTCTGATTACATGTGATACAATCAACCTTAAATCGGTTGAAAGGGACATCTCTAGCTTAGTAAAAGCTCTTTTGATTTACCCTGATTCCAGGAAGGTACTTTTTTGGGAATGGACCAGACACCCAGATGTTTGGCCCGAATTTCCGGATTAGTGTATGTACTGTTTAAAAGCTTATGAAAAAAGATTATGATAAAGTCAAAAAAGAGTCCATTATGGAAGTCTGCAAAATTAAAATTTTGTTTTCATTAAAATTATGTTTTCAATAAAAAAAAACTTATTTTGTTTGTATGTAGATGGCTTTCGGCCGGCGATTTTCACAGACTAATACGAAAGAAAGTTTTTTAAATTTGATACTTTTTGTAAGTGGATCCGGACTTTCCTCTTTGAGTATGTCCCGCACCGTATAAAATTGTCTATATAGGCTTCCGTTTAAGCATGGTCGCCATATAACGGCTCCAACCATACTCCTACCAATCTTTCTCGAGTTAGTGGTTTAAAGTCCAACACGTTTGAATTCAGATGCTTCCCTCATCCTTCACTGTACCTTTGCAACACTGCGGCTTGAGGTACTGTATTTGCTTCTAGCCATTTTTAAAATTTTTTTGGGCAGTACTTAAAAAAAGAAAAGAAAAACACATACTGTTGTAAAAAACTTCTCAAAAAGGATTTATGACAAGCGAAATTGTCGAAGGAAGAAAAAAGCGATAAATATCACAGTAAAAACAACTGAAATTGCAGCGGATATATGAATGTACAACAGAGTTGCTTGAGTTGTTGTTAGCGGAATCAGTTGAAAACGGCTGGATCGATTTGCATTATTTTTTGTACAAACGTTTGTCATACCCCGAGTTAGGTTTTTAAAGAAAAAAATATTACCCACGCCTCCTTTTACGCCCACTATTTCGATTTATCTAAAATCCTTATATTCCCCAAATAAACAAGATTAAAAATTAAAAATTATTACACGAGATACTGTTGACCTTCCCTCCAACCCAAAATAGTTGTTTGGGGGCTGAGGAACTGACCACGCATACTTTTTAATCTATCTATACATTTATATATATAAATGAAAGTTGTGTTATTTACTACGCTTATAACTTAAGAACCGCTGAACTGATTTTAATGATTCATACAAATTCGGAATTGTCTCTTATCCGAAAAGGATAATATCCAACAAAAAAAAAAAAAAAAAAAATCGCGTAAAAATGTGATATGTTAACATTTTCATTTTGACTTTTGAAATGTACAATCGTAATGTTTTATTTCGCATGATTTTTTCCATTTTGACTTACTTTTTTCTAATGTACATTTGTAGTGTTTTTTATATTTTATTTTTGAATTCGAATATTAATACCAATTTATTTAATTGACTTGATTTCTTGAGAACTGAAATTGATGGCGGGTTTCATGGAAGTGTAGTACCGAATTATGTGGTGGCGAAACGGAATAGATGATACCGAAATAATTTAATGCGGTCACACCAAAGTTAAAAGAAAATTTCTTTTTCAAAATCGCTAAAAAATCACGAAAAAAGAGATCTCATTGCAACAATTCTGAAAACGGGAAAATATCGAAAAAAATTTCCAATGGAATTTAATTTTAAAATAAAAGTATATTCTATTGACAAACTTTGTAAGAATCTTTAAACAGTTACTGTAAAAAATCAGCGAACAAGTTGAAGATTTTTTCAATTTGTTATTCTTCTTTTGTCAATTTTTTTCAATTAACTGACATCTACCTTTCAACTCCAGGGCCTACTTCGTGCTTCAGCTGGAAGATGCGAACACATTTAAACAAACAAAAATGACCGAAAAAGCCTAATGGGCTTATTTCAAAGCGTGGCCCTACGTCTTTCATGTGGCAATAATCCGTACAATGAGAACTCAAAATGCATTTTTTTGGGAGTACAATCAGTAAAGTACCAAATATAAAGGGTGCAAAATAGTAGAGCGGATGGGACTTTTAGTAACAAAAGGATGTCTATCCTTCCAGAAATTCTTCCCGAACATTCAAGATACCTTAAATCGCTTTTGCAGGTCATGATATCGATCATAAATAACCATCGTATGATTTAAGCCATTTTTGGAGTCTTCGCCACTTTCTTCTATTTTTGGCCCTTTTTTGGCACCTTTATTTCTAAGGGACCGAATATTAGTTCCCATATTACGGTAATGGGTGCAAAATAGTAATTATATTTGACTATTCTGAAATCAGTCTGACCTCAATTATGAGGTGGATAAAACTATTTTTACTTATTTAAATCACGTGATTTTTTTTCAGTTTGACATTCTATGTTGTTCTGCTATATTTTCGATTTGGCCTCTATTTGTCATCTTGGATTATAAGGGGTGAAGAAAGTTTTCAATGTAGGTCGATGTTTCACATTTCACCATATTTCAAAGGATTTGGCTAAAAATGTGAATTTGGGGGTGAAAATCTTACACAAAAATGTCAACATATCTACAAGTTTTAGAATTTTCTCCATGTAATAGTACCCCCTCAAGTCCACCTTTTGGCGGACAAACAGACCGACTTGGTTAGGGGGACTTATTAGGACTCTAATGCACAATCTGAGGTGCTAATGGTCATATATATATATGTGACAAAGTCAAACAATTAAAAAAAAACCTTAAGTTCGGCCGGGCCAAACTTTTAATACCCTCCACCTTATGGTAAGGGAAACATTAGAAAAATGTGGCAAAAACCATTCAAATACCGATTATCGGGAGGTACCGTTATATGGGGGCTATACCAAATCGAGCTAGAACCCATTATGACCTACAAATAGCAATTTCCAGACAAATCCCTGAAAAAATGTGGCTAAAGTCATCAAATTACCGAATATTGTAATTATCTTTGACTATTCTGAAATGGTTCTGCCCTAAATTATGAGGTGGACAAAACTAAATACTACGCTGCACGTT